CGGGTCAAAAGTAGGGTGACCTAGGCAAAGAGGTTCGGGACGAGATCTCTGCAGAAATCGATGTGGCGGTCAGCAAGCCCGGATCCATCCTCCAGAAGGTTCTTTTGCGCTGGATGCCGGGTTGAGGGGTTTGGGCTCCATCATCGTATGTCGCTAGAGGGAGAGGGAGAGAGAGAGAGAGAGAGAGATTGGGGATGGTTTCATAAAACTGTGTATCTCACCTGCTGCCATGAGCCCCGATCGCATGACTTGCTTGTTGAATCCTTCTTGCTTTTCGGAGCTTGGGGCTCTCCGCACAAAGCCACAGAGTAATCTTTTCTGCCAGAGGAGAAACCCCTCAGTTCTCTTATAGTATGTCCCTGCTGCTGTCTCGTCTACAGGGGGGGAATCCTCTGGCACACACCAACAAGAAGGCATGGGAATAGCCCACTCGACGGATATGGTGCTCGTATAATTCTGTATACTTCAGCTATATTTCCCTTGATTTGTTGCTCGCTTTTTCTACAGCATCCTCGAGTTGCCTTGGTGGTGAAAGCACCGTCTGCAAAGCCTCTCCGCAACAGGCGGGGGCGCTGACGCGCGCGGGTGAGGGGCGCTGTCCCCTCTCCCTCAACCCTTGAGAAAGAAAGAGAGAGAGAGAGAGAGAGAGCGCGCGTGCCGACGCAATAGTTACTCCCCACCTGTCGGGGGTGCTAACGCGCGCGGGCGAGTGGGGCTTGCCTCCCTTGCCCATCCTTGCCCCTAGCCCTGGCGAAGGAAAGACAGAGAGCGAGAGCGAGTGCGAGCGGGAGGGAGGGGGGGAGAGGTATTCTTGCTGCCGTCTTGCTCTTCCTAAAGACAAGAGCACGGCAGGCCGACTTCGACTCCGGTGTTCGGAGATATCTCGGAGCACTGCGCGGCTGCCAGAACGGCAAGCCCGGGAGCTCGGGCTTTGAGACAATCTTGAGGGTTTGGGGTGTACCGATACGGGTGCTTGATACTACCTGCCTTACTGCCACCTTTTCAGGCTCCCGAAACAGATGCCTGGCTCAAAATTTGGGCGTACGTAGGATTTTGGGCTAATGGCTTTAAGGTTTGCAGCTTGATGAGAGGTTGGGACAGATGTAGGTCTTGGGATTGCAATCCGGCTTTAAGGCTCAAGGTTAAAGGCTAATTTAGTGTTTGGGATTGAGAACGTAGGGTTTCGGACTGCTCCGAAGTTCGGATTTGGGGTTTAGGCTTTCAGTTTGCTTTGGCACACGTTCTGGGCAGAGGCCAACCACGTGCAAAATGCTTTGTGGTTCAGGGCCTGGGATTTGCATCAAGCGAGCTTGTGGGGTGACCGGGCCGGGGTGAAAGGACGATACCACTACTGGGTTTAAGTTTAGGATGCAAGGTTTACGATTTAAGACTCAGAGGTTGGCGTTGCTCAGTTCAGGGCCAAGTTCAGGCGATTGCACAAGTCCTGATGCAAAATGGGTGTTTTGAAGTTGAGGTTCTGCAACAGTGGTCGCATAGTGCCGTATTGTCTTCATTTCTGACATGTATAAGACATTCGTCAAGGGAACGTCGCACATGCTCCAACAACGCCGGGACCGGGGATGACTGATGGTTTCATTTCCAGCGCCTTCAGATCAATGAGAACAGTCAGCAGCCAGCAGGAGGACGAGGATCACAACATGAGGTAGGACAGCATCACATGAACATTGAACTTCCCAAGCATGAGAGGGTTTGGCCACGTCATGACTCCTGAAACGCTGCACCCCACAGGCCCAGAGCAGCAGCAGTTGCGCTGTCTAATCATGGCGACATCGTTAAGACAACAAACGCAGTTGCATAGCGGCACTCGTAACACGACCACATCATAATGGTACATCGGCGCAAAGTGGCTGACACTCAGGCAGAAGGTGAAGGATGCTATGGCCGGGCCCCTAGATTTCCGAGGAGGGGCTTATAACTGGCTTGCACAGCGCCAGTCTGATCTCTGGCTCCTGAGGCCATGCTTCACCACTATACTGCTCAGAAAATGAGATCTGCGGTGAAGAATTGGCCAGCCTACCTGCTACCTGGCTGCAAACTGGTCAGACATGTTACGGACACCTGATTAGCCCCCCTTTGTCCCCACACCTCCTTCGGATCCCGAACAATCTCTTCACCGCACCTCTGTTGTTTGGGATGCAGCACAAAACTAGCAGTGCAGCAAGCAGTGCGGTTGAATTTGTGGGGCGACCCGCATTGATTGACCGTGGTCATGGTCTAGTGATGCCGGTATTCGGGGACGACCCCGTCACTCCGGATGATGCGCATGAGGCTCTTGCCGTAAAGAAAATAGGAAGCCCTGCCTGCAAAAGCCCTCTGAAACCAAGCAGACCTACTGTAAGATCCTTTGTTCGTCTTAAACCTTCAACCTCGTCGTAACCATTTTTACAAGTGCTTACATCTCCGATTCAGGTACTTGTAACCTTAACCTACTAAATCCCCCTAAAACCCCAAACAAGAGAAGCCCAACCCCCCCCCCACAAAGACTTAGAACACACCCCGGCCTAAACCCTAAACCCTAAACCTAAACCCTAAACCCTAAACTCTAAACCCCTAAACCCTAAACCCTAAACCCTAAACGGACCCCGAGGCTGACGCTGCTGAAGCGTTTCGAGCCGGGCCTTCTCAGCAAGGGCCTGGGCAAGGGAGAGCGACGCTTGGCTCTTCGAACATGGGCGTAGGGGCTTAGGGCTTGTAGGGATTAGGGCTTTTTAGGGGTCTATTTGGGGTGTGTAGGGTCGTTTAGTTCAGGGTAAGTCATTGGGGTAAAACGCTTCGGCTTAGGGTCATGTGTTTGGGGTGTTTTTTCTTAGCAATGCCATGAGCCGCCAATGCACATGCAGTACCAGGGGACAAAGGCTGGAAGACTTTGCTGTGTTTTTTTTTGGTTTCGGGTTTGGGCCTAAATTGCAGGCATCCCAGCAGACCCACAACAAACTGTAGCATTGAAGCCCCCAAACAGTCGTACCTGATCAAGTGGAGCTCTGTTTGCTGGAAACTCTCAGATAGTCAGGTACAGATAGGTGCATGGCTTGTCCGTGTATTTGTTCGTTTGTTTTTTTGTCTGGTTGTCTGAGTGCTCGATTGCTTGCGGGCTGGCTTGCTTGCTTGCTTGCTCGCTGGCTGGCTTACGGGCTTGTTTGCTGGCTGGCTTGCTTGCTTGCTTGGTTGCTGCTCTTGCGTGTTTGCGTCTTGTGTCTGCATATGTCAGTGTTTTGTGTGTTTGCTTGCTTGCTTGTTCGTTTGTTTGTGTGAAGTGTGGGTGGCGTCTTTAGCCAGTCCCTTAGCCGCAAGCCGTAGCCCTGAACCTCGGTGTGAGGCTGAATTGCAACGTCCAGACATCATTGTAACTCTGGCCTACTTGTTTCAAGGCTTCGGGCTCGCCTCCGCTGCAACGCCCACGGGGCCTCACACCGAAACCTGCAAACACAAGCCAAGGAAAAGGGGAGGACACCAGGAGGCTGGCATGACACAGCTTTAGTGTGCATGTATGTATGCTTGTTTGTACTGGTAATCATGAATGTATTTATGTATGTGTGTGTATATATATATATATGTAAAAACATGTGTAATTATCTTTCTGTCGTTCGTTCTTTCGTTACTTCTGTGATTTCTCAGTTATCAACCCCTTTTGGCCCGCACCTCCGAGCTAGTATCGTTGACTTGGCTTGATTGCTGCTGTGTGTTTTGTGGCGATCTTGCGGGTATCACGACGTCTTTGCGCTCATGTTTGGCCGAATGTGCTGTCTCGGTGCTTGTGTACTCAAGTTGGTGGAAGCCTTTGGGCCCCGCTTTCTCGGTGTGCGAACATGTTGTCACAGGCCACCATCCGCCGCGGAGGCTGCGGCGTTTGGACTGCCAGGTGCGACTGAAGGGGGGTTCTTGAAACGGTTTAGAGATTAGAATTTGGAGCCCCAGCACTGAGCAAAGTTCCAACTGTTTCTACCCGACTGCGAACCAAGAGACCTCGTCCAGCTGTGTCCGATGTGCGAGAGTGTTAATCCCCAAACCGCAATGTTTAGGGTTTAGGGTGCCCATTCTGCATGCATGTGTTTTTTTCACGCGGTCTGTTTTTACAGTAAAGTTCAGGGTTTGAGTCTTGGGGTCCGTGTTGAGTGACAACGTCGGGTCTCTATTGGGATCCTTGTTGGCTCGAGTCCGTAATCTACGCAGAGAAACAAACGCCCTTGGAGCCAGGGTAACTTTAGCTTGCCAGTACCCCGAAAACGCACGGAAGCAGCGGCAGGTGCATCTGACAGAGGGCCGTTAGCATTCGCGAAGCCCCTCGTGAAGCTTTCGGAGGCGGGGTGGACATGGGCAGCATTGCGGGCACGGCGGCATGCTTGAGCCTTAGGGTAGTCGTTCTTGCAATTCGGCGTCAGCTGCAACCTTGGCTCAAACATGACGGTTACTGTAGGCTTCATTGAAAGGAGGATCTGAACTGCTTCCTCCCCCAAGAATCTCCAAGCGAGGTCCCTTGCCCTCCATAGATGCTGAGCCATGGCCTTTTCCTAGAGAACACCGGGCCCCTCCCAGATGCAGGCAGGGCCGCTGCAGCTCCCAGGGTTCAAATGTTCTGTGAGTATACTTGATAAGTTGGTAACGACATCATGTAAACGATAATGGTGAATATACTTCATCATGGCGTTTCAACAGTATGCCCGAGACATCGCAGGATCCAACACTTCTCACGAGTGCTTGAACTGCTTGAGCATGAAGGGGCTTGCTTTTGCTCTTGTGTCGTTGCGTGCAGTTGTCTTGGGACAGCTAGTGGACACTCTGCCCTGAACCCTGAAAAACCCTGAACCCGGTGAGCGCTGAAACCCTGAACCCTAAACCCAAATTCGTTGCAGTGGGCTCTGAAGCCACGCATGAAGCATTTTTTCGAAAGCAGAGCTACAGCCAGTCAGGTGATCATTCCGTCTTCAGGGATTAAAGTACTTAATTATAGACTCCTAGAGTCAAGACTCCCGCCGAACGCCATGGCTCCAAGCAAGAAGAGGCCAGCTGCGCAGTCAGGGGGCCTCCGCAAGAAACCTGCAGCAAGGCATGTGGACACGGAAGAGGAAGAGGAAGAGGAGGAGGTAGGAGATGAAGGGGAGGAGGAGGAGGGGGAGGAAGAAGAGGAAGAGGACGACGAGGAAGCAGAGGAGGAGGACGACGAAGAGGACGTCACCGTGCGCAAAAAGCCAGCTTCCAAAGATGAAAAGCCGAAGAGCCGGTCCATGAAGGTAGGGCTTGGGGTTTATAGGCCTCAATAAAGGACCTTAAATCCCTTAAAAGCCCCAAAACCCCACAGCCCCAGATCATCCCAGATCCCTAAAGCTTCGACAGCCCCGAACCCTACACTTCCCTGAAGGCTCCTCCAAGCAAGCGGGAGGCCAAGACAGCCCTCCGAGAGGCCGTCAAGAAGAAGAAGACCGTGGATCGCTTGAAGAAGCTGCGCTGTAGAGGAAGTATACTTTGGGGCCCTGTAGAGTTTTGGGCCTTTAGGGGGGTTTTAAGATTTTATGAGTAACCTTTAAGGCCTTCAGCGCCTGGAGGGTTCATGGGTGTTGGGGTGGTAGAGCATAGAACCACATAAGGAGGGAGATCAAGCCCCTGGCACAGAAGCTCAAGGAGAAGAGGGATGAGCTACGAATCGCAGATCAGGAGTTGGAGAAGCTGAATGCAGCCGCTAACAAGCTGGGAAGAGCCGTAGAGAAAGAGACGAAAGCAAAGGAGCTCAGACGTAAGAAGCGCGCCCGGGTCATCAAGAAGAATGCCGGCGAGCGGGTGCGGAGCTTGCGGGAGAAGCTAAATGAAGCCAAGGCAGACATAGCAAAGTTCAAAGCTGCAGAGGCGCAGGCCAAGAAGAAGCTCTCTACGGCTCAGAAGGAGTACCCGCGGCTGCAGTTGCCCACTAATTTAGGAGTTGTGCTACATAAGTAATGGGTCAGACCTGCTTTGTTGTAGGATCGGAGACCACAGGTACAAGCAGCTCCAATCCAAGGGAGATCAGTACAGTCACCATGGCTTCAGTACCTAGCCAGGCCACTGGGATGTTTTCTATCTTTCTCGTTTTTACGAGGATCCTCTACACACCAAGACCTGAACCTAAAAACCCTAATTCCTACTGTAACACCTGCAAACCCCAGATTCCAACCCGATGTTCTTCAGAGGTTTTAAGGCCCACGCCTAGGTGCCAAGCGTGCCGTCGAGGCTGCCAAGGCAGACTTCGAGAAGGCCAAGCTCGGCTTGGTGCACGCCTCGGACGCCCGAGGTCGCAACAGCATCGATGTTTTAATATAGAAGCTAAAATAATTTCCGATAGTATTTTGGGGGGTTCCTTATAGTATAATACACCCCAAACACCCTAATCGAATTATTAAGGCCCCTACATTAGTAATTAGGTTTTGGAGTGTTCAGCCACGGGAGCTGAAGCTTTCAGGTGAGGCGGGCATGAATGGCATGTGCACTGCAGCCCCTCTTCTACAAAAGGGTTCAGGGTGCAAGATTCAGGGTTTCGAGTTTAGTGTGTTTAAAGTATTGGAAACTGTCATTACTCTTCTTGTTATTCGTCAGTGGTATTGTTAGTAAGTTTGTGATTGCTGCCGTGAGCACTACTAAACCTACGAGTTGTTTTCAAGTGATTGAAGTTAGGTTAATGGCAGTACCACTGCTTAATACTAGCCAATATGTGTCATTGTCCGTCTTCTTCCATACGGGTAGTTCTCTAAATTAGGGTCCCTTTTGGGGTCCTTTTTATAAGGGTGCCGTACTATACTGGGGACCTAACAAGGGACCCTGATTTAGAAAACTACCCATACTGATCATAGGCAAGAAGACGAAGACTTGGACTTAGGAGAGCTTCGAGAAGTGCCAGGAGCAGCTGAAGACGGCGCAAGAGAAGATCTCTCAGATCAAGGCTCCTTCATTTTTTGCGGGGGTTTGGAAATTACATACAAGACGGAAAGATTTCATCATCCAGGGCGTTCTAATTAAGGAGGACCATCCTGCGATAGTGACCACTGACTGTCAGCACAGGAGAAGTCGCAGAAGCCCAGTGCCAGTGGTTCCACCAGCGCTGGTGGGAAGGTGATGAAGCGTCCAGCGGCGCGAGCAGGGTAGCGAGCATCCTGCGTAAGAAGTTTCTGCCCTTGCAAACTGCTGTGCTGAAGGGTCTCAGCTCGTCTCACAGCTGTGCATGGGCGCAGATTTATGGCGTTTACGTTTGTACAGTGTGCAGTGCCAGCACTGCCATCAGACGGGGCTGCGCAGTCGACCAAGACAGTCGCCTTGCTGCAGTGTGGGGGAACAGCACTCCTAATGGCGGTGATTTGGAAAGCGGGGATGACCTATTTGCAAGAGCAAAAGAACCGCTCAGTGACCCCGGGCTGCTCGCCTTGCACACATGTTCTGGGGATTGCTTTTTGATCGCAGATGCAACTAGGCGATGACTCGACCATGGACAGCTGTCGCTTGCACTCCTGATGCTGGCAATTCCCTGGCAAGATCCGAGAGAGCCCGCTTTTTCCAAGTCACGAATAGTCCTGCATTAGGGGGTAGTATGAAATAGTAATGATATATTCCGTTTAGGGGTCCGAGTACTCACCAATTTACACTACTGCGAGTCATTGTTAGTCCTCATATGATTATACTGTGGCATACTTGTATACAGTAAGCCCTATTCTAACTAAGCCCCCTATACCAAAACCCACCCCAAGAAAGGCTACACAACCCTAAACCCTCAACCCTACTCTTATCATTACGGCCGTTTCGCACTGGGCTCTGCGTGTCTCCAGGTGCCTCGCTTGAGACAGTGACTGACCAGCTGAGCATCTCGTGTGCTGGCACGTCTCGTTTAGCTATTCGGGGTGTTCCTTGGTAATTCTTCAGATTTGTTACCATGTACAACCGATGGGCTATCAACGATGTGGTGTGTTTTGAGGGTGTAACGGGCCTACAGTTTTTGTTGATTCCTCTCAGGGTGTCGCTTCTATAAGTCTTCTGTAAAGTGTGGTTTAGGATGTGGGAGTTTGTTTGTTAACAAAGGTTTTAGGCCTTGTAAAGTTAGGACTCAGGACTCCTGGCAGATGGTCTTCCGAAGTGATGCCTGGCCGCGGCAGGAAAAAGAAGACTCCTGAGTCGGAGAGCCGTGTGTTTGCAACGAGTCTTCGCCGCTCAGAACCTAAATCTTACAGGGGAGACCTGAGTAGTGTAGCAAGTACCCTTTAGTTGTTGAGGTTTGGGCTTTGCCAGGTCTGCAGGTTTTCAGACGGAGTGTCTAGCACATGTTTAGCTATGTCTGTAACTAATAAATACATGTAGTCACATATATACATATACCGATTTGCAAATTCACACACACGCACTTGTATGTATGTATGTATGTATGTATGTATGTATGTATGCATGCATGTATGTAATGTAATGTAAT